AACATGGTGTTATGCAGTGTATTGGTATTGACTATTGAGCGGAACAGAAGTATTTTTTCCTTGACTTTTTTTTTTATTTCCTTATATTTAGGGATAGAATCGATTAGTTAACATGTTGGTTAACCGCATTTTGAAACATGGAAAAAAAATCGTTGGCATATCAAATTGTTTATCGAGCCATGAAAAAGATTCAACAAAAGACAGAAACAAATCCACTATCTTTACTTTTACATTAAGCAATACGTGTAGTAACTCCCAATATAGCAATAAAGCAAGACATGAAGGTGGATCGACTCATCAAGTTCCTAGTGAAATAGAATCCACACAAGGAAAAACACTTGCCATTCGTTGGTTATTAGCGGCATTCCGAAAATGTCCAGGTCGAAATATGGCTTTCAAGTTATGTTCCGGATTAGTGGGTGCTGCCAAAAGGAATGGCGATGCCATATGCAAAAAGGAAGAGACTCGTAGAATGACAGAGGCAAATCGAGCTTTTGCACATTTTTGTTAATGCATAAACATGATCTATATAGACACATAGATTCATGGATCTATACATCTCGATCGAAAAAGAATCAAGAGAAAAAAAAGAATCAGAATTGATCAATATATTTCCTTTTCGGTTGGTATCTCAAGAAAAAAAATGAGAAATATTGTATACGATGGATGATGTAATGGTATTTTCAAGTTCCAACCACTGTTGTCGGTCAATTTAGTCTACTTGAAACTTGAAAGGGGCAAATTATAATATTTAAAAACGTAGGGGGCTGATTGCAACAAGAGTTATAGTTTGAGGAGAAAATTATAATTAACCCTATATAAAAATATTTCTCATGATATGAGGTAGAATAAAGACACACATGTCAATGAATATAATGTTTCGAGACATTTGAATGATTTACATGCCTAGAAAGTTTTTGAGAAGAAGCATGAATTATTTGCCCAGAATCCTTACAATATCAGGCTAGGTCTAGCAAGTGATGAATTTAATCCGGTTGACAACATGAGTAATGATTACAACATTTGACCTTTGTTTCTTGTGCCATACAATTTCCCTCCATGGAGATGTATGAAGGATCCCTTTTTTATGATATCTATGATTATTCTTGGATCAATTTCTCTAGAAAATGACATCAATATATTTCTACGACCGTTGGTTGATGAATTAAAGGCATTGTGGGAGCATGGCGTTGAGACATATGATGCTTACATTGAACAAAAGTTTTGCTTGTGTGCAACGGTGATATGGACTATAAATGACTTCATTGCTTATGCTAACTTGCCTAGATAGGGATTGTATATTGGAATATTTGAACACTATTGAACCACTTGAGTTTGGTAAGGTACTTGAACCTATCCAAAACAAAAAGAAGAGAAAGAACATTGATTTAAATTGGACGAAGATGAGCATTGTCTTTGAACTGCTGTATTGGAAAACCCTTATACTACGACACAATCTCGATATCATGCACATAGAGAATAACGTGTGTGATGCTTGGGCTATTAATGAACATTGATGGAAAAACTAAGGATAATTGGAAGGCTTGCTAGGATTTGATGGCCATGGGCTTAAGGCTTGAATTACATCTGCGCTTTGATGTTGATAAATTTCTTATGCCTTTTGCATGTTAACACTTTTCACATGAAATGAAGAGAAGAATGTGTGAATTATTGAGATCAATTAAGTTTCTAGACGGTTTTACTTCAAATATTTCTCGTTGTGTGAAGACCTGAGAGTGTTGTATTTCAGGAATGAAGAGATACAACTATCACATTTTCCTACAACGTATACTCTTTGTGGCATTATGTGTCTTCTTGAATAAGGAAGTGTGCCAGACATTAGTTGAGCTCAGTAATTTCTTCAAGCAGTTATGCTCTAGAACACTGTATTTGGATGCATTGGATAAACTTGAGAGGCAAATTGTTTTGACACTATGCAAACTTGAATGAATATTTCCTCCAACATTCTTCTATGTGATGGTGCATCTAATGGTTCACCTAGTTACAGAAGCAAAGATTGCTGGATTAGAGCAATATCGGTGGATGTTTTCATTAGAAAGGCATTGTATGATTAATTAATGAAGTGATTAATTAAGAACTAGTCAATTTAATTTAATTAATGTTTTAATTGTTTGATTATGTATATCAATAGACAAATGAATAAACTACAGGGCTATGTACATAATAAGCCTCGACCAGAAGGGTCAATTTCTAAACATTACATTGACAACGAATGTTTGACGTTTTGTTCTATGTACCTACTTAATATTGATACAAGATTCAATCGACCCGAACGAAACTACGATGAAGTAAAAAGTCGGGGGAGTTGTGTGTATTTGCATATAATGGCCATTCATTCGGTGGACCCATTTATGGTGAGTTGAACAACGTTAATGGATTTAGGTTCCATACTTGAAATCATGAGAAGAAGAGGAAAACAAAGGGGGGAGAGCATGATCAAACAATGACAGACTTTTATGACGTGATCACCTATATTATTGAGTTAGCATATTTACTTGGACAAAAGAAGGTTGTGTTGTCCAAATGTGATTGGTGAAGTGAAGGATAATGCATTAATCCAAATAGATAAGGATCGGAAAGTCCCCAGTGTAAATATAGTGCAAATATGGTGTGTTGACCAACCATTTATGCTAGCATCGCAAGCAAAACAAGTTTTTATATCGAAGATTTAATGTTAGGCAATAATTGGCTAATTAGAGGAACAATTAGTTTTTGATGAAAAGCCTTACCAAGAAGATGTATCTAATGAGGTTTTTGATGTAATGGAAGTTGACGTATTGCCCTCATTGGAAGGGGATGATATGATGCCATTAGAATGTTTTAACTCTGACAATATACTGTGTGAAGAGCCAATAGAGAGGGTATATAATGAAGATGATAACTTCTTGAGTAAAATATATATATATAGAGTGATCTTCTCTTGCAAATACCTTTTCTTATTCTTTAATCCAAGATTACTAGCACTCTTAAGAAAACATTAATGGCATGGTGTTTCAATGAATTTATTGTACGTCCCATAGGTGAATACTTATTGGAACACCTTGGTTATGGTTCTATTCACAAAGGTTCTTTGTCATTTTGATTCCCGAGTAGGTATTCCCCTTCATAATTTGTTGTTCTTTTTTATTGCTAACATAGTTTTTTTTGTTATAGTACTAGGTTGGGATTTATAAACAGAGTTCTATTCTGAGAAAGGTGTATTTTTCTATTGTCATGTTGTAAGTGAGATTAGAGTTTATGATGCTAAATCTTTCAAGTGTGAAGGAGGTTTGATTAATGGTTTTCCTTTTTTTCAAATTACGATATACAATCAATTTGTTGAGAGGGAATATAAGGTACTTGCTATTTTGGATATTAATTTAAGCTAATATTCAAACTGATAAAACTCGGTTGTTGCCTTTGGATGGAAAACATTCTCTAAACAACTTGTTTCTATTCAATGAGGGAATTGTAGATGTCTATGAATTTGAAGAATGTGACCCTGTGAAATCCAAGCACAAGCGATCAAAGCAAGTGAAATTTATTGTTTGCATTTTAGAGTTATATTTTTTTTTCTATGTGCAATAAAGTTGCAAGACCATAACTGTTTGATTTCAAGGTACTCTAGTATCCAAACACCAATGACCAATGCCTCAAATGCATGCCAAAGCATTACCCTAGTTTTGCCACTGTTCTCAAAATTATGGGAGTTAGTGATACAAGGAGAAGGGCAATTGTTTGATAGTGTCGATGCTTTTTTCAGGATGCATTGCATAAGTTTTCCTTGGCCTATCGATTTTTCTTTAGTAGGTTACAAATGACTTTTCCTTTATAGGGGTTAGATCTGTTGTGGCAGCTTGTCGTTGGAAAATACGGGTTGGGCAGGTTGGTACATTGAGAATTTATATGGTGATGAAATTTGTACAAGAACATGAACATTCTGCTCAAGACCAAATGTGAATTAAAATTTTTCTTCTAGCAAAATTTATTGGGAGAATTGTTTAAGAAAAAAAATAAGAGCAACACAACTTATTTGCCAACATAAATTGTTTCAGATTTTTCATGTGATTATGGTCTGAATATTAGTTACCAACAAACTTCGCGAGGAAAGGAAAAGGCAAAGGAATTAAATGATGGGGCAACTAAAGATTCTTAAAAACTTGTTCCATGGATGTGTGAGCGCTTAGAGAATTCACATTGTGGCATTGTTGGATTGTATAAAAAATGAAGAAAAATGATTTAATTAGCTTTCATTGCATACCATGCTTGTCTACATTGATTTCGTTCGGATGTTGACCATAATTGTTCATTGATGGCGCTCTCTTGAAAGGATCTTTTTCATGGTTATATGCTTGCAGCAGCCGCTTTGGATGGAAATGATGGGATGTATTCGGTGGCATTTGGGATTTTAAAATGAGAATCAATTGAGAAATGACTTTGTTTGCTTAAGCATTTTGAGGAAGCATTTGAGCGACGATAGATAAATTGTTATCATCTTTGATAGGAATCAAAACATTATTCTGTAGTTAAACAAATATATTCTAGCGATATCCATGCTAACTTATTATCTCCATTGAAGATAATTTTTTTTCAAGTATTTAGGACAATTTCATTTGTCTAGTGCTTGAAAAAGAACATTTGAGAGCCTTTTGGATGCAATTGCCTATGCATACAATGTTGATGCGTATGAAAATGCTTGGTCCCGGTTGAATCAATTGTGTCAAGATGCACATGATTGGATAGTGAAAAGTGACCCTAAGCTTTGGGCTAACTCCCAATTTCCAAAGAGAAGATATGGTAAATTATATTCGAATGTTGCGAAAGCATGTAATGGATGGGTTCTAAAAGAAAGCATTGTCAATCATGGTGATTACTTGGAAGACTCATAAGAAACTAACAAAGCATATGTACCAGAGAAAGATTGAAGCAATTTCATGGAAGCTCTACTTGGAAAAATAAGTGATAACATTTTAGCTTCAAACATCACTGCATGTGAGAGGATGGAAATCATGCCATGTTCTACAACAGGTTTGTTTGAGGTTAAAGAGAAACATGGGAACTTTGATGTTATTTTTGTAAGGAAATCATATGGATATGGTAAATGGGAGGCAATTGGACTAATATTCTCAGAAACCATGTGTCATGTCCCAACATATGATATGCCTTCATTGGGAATTTCTAGTGATAAATTTGGCGATGAAAATGATAAAGAATCATCTTCAAATGATGTGTTTCTTGTATCTCCTCGCTCTAAAAAACTGCTAGGATGCCCACAAAGAAAGTAAATTGAGTCACAACACATTGAGAGAAGGTCAATAGCCGATGTAAGAAGAATGGGTGCAATCGAGAATCGTGCAAAGAGCCCTTTTCTAGGTATGTTCTATGTGATCAACTTAACAAAGCATGTTTGATATTATTTGTATGCATTTTTGACACGTTAAAAAAATCAGGTTCATTTTTTCTTTTCCTAATTGATATTAGCTGACTTAATGCTTGGAGAAACTGATGATTGGTGGTTTTTGGTGTGCTAATTGATAGCTTTTGTATGCATATTCTCCTTTCATTTTGTAAATCCCAAAATATCATGCATGTAACAGTAATGTCACCCTCATTTTGAGAGGCGGATAAACCCACAACATGTGTTGCTTTGTAGATGAGCAATTGCCATCGAACTAGGTCCAACCTCCAAAAATCATAAAGATTGACTTGGATTCTAGAATCCATAACCGGACATCGACTCAAGGAGCATGTGAAACACGGGTTCCATTATGCCATCGAAAACGTAATTTTTGATATCATACTTTTTTTGTTCTTAAATGAAAACTTGACACATGTAAACATGATTTGTTTTATTATTTTATTTTAATTTAATATTATATGTTGAGAAAAATATGGCTTTTCCTGGATAAAATGACAACTGAATTCATGTAATAGGAGAAAGATTTCTCATTTCTTAGCCAGAAAGATATGTGGTCATGAAATAAGGATTAAGTGGAACAGAATTGATTGGGTGGTAGAGTCATGAAAACGCTTGTCTCTTCCATATTTTGGACCCTAGCTCCATGGAGCAATATGATATTGCTGAAACATGGAAGAATTGAAATCTTAGATCAAAATATTATGTATGGATGGTATGAACTATCTAAACAGGAATTCTTGAACAGTGAAGGAGGATCAAAGGGTCAAAATCATATGATATGGAAAAACCACTACAATAAAAGTTGTTTTAACCTAGAAATGTTTTACCTAGGAAAATAATTTTGTAGGTAAAGGAGCTTTATACCTAGAAAATTATTATATCGTCAATAAATAATTGCACACATTCCACACACCAAAACGAAGAACAATTTTTTCCCAAATTTAGTTTAGTCGACAAAACATTTCGTAGTTGAAATTTTTTTTTTGATTTTTTTATTATGTTTTTCAAATTAGGGCAAGAAACTAACTATAGGATGTAAAAAAATCAAGAGATTCACCGAGGAACTTATTTCGTAGGGAAAGATGCCATTTTGTAAACACCCTCCCTAAACACTCGACCAGTTCTCTCCCAATTCATTTCTCTTTTGATATATTTTTGGTAATACAAATAAAAAATAATAGATTTTTAAGTTTTATGTTTCGGACACATGGGGGAGAGAGAGAGAATGGTTAAAAATGAGTAATGTGTTTTGGTTGACCAATTAGAATTTTTTTTTTACCCTTAGCAGTTTTTTTCTTTTCCTAAAAAAATTGTTTTGGTGTATTTTTAATATTATGGTTGGATTTATGAGTCCAAACTACTCAAATTTATTTTTTACTATGTTTAAATTTCATAGAGTTTTTTCTTTTGGGGGGCCTAAAATCTTATGGATCTAATTTTTTTTTGATTTGAACTAACTATACACTTTAAAATTTTTGGGGCCTAAAGCCCAAGTTTTGTTGGCCTTATTGTTGGGCTAGCCCTGATGACGATGGGGGTGGGAGTGGGCGACGACAGGTGCTTGTGGGCGACGATGGTGATGAGTGGTGGCAAATGGCGGCGGTGGTGGTAGATGAAAAGAAATCATAAAATAACCACAGTGGAATTTAAAATAATAATTTGATTCCTCATACTAAGATCTATTCATGTTTAATACAAACCGAAAAATCTTAAATCTATAGAGAAGATTAAGAGTTTCCTCTTGAAGCATACCTTTAACAATCTTCAAACATTCTTAAAAATTTTAAATCTTCAAATTTGAATTTGATCTTTACCCCAAGCCTCACAAACGTTGGCCTCGATAGGTATCCACACGAATTGACTAATTTGAAGGATCTACTTCAACCATTGATAAACTAATAGAGAGAGAGAATGATGGGTGGTTCTTCTTGTGCTAGCAAGTGAGTTTTTATATATCTATATTATCCACCTCTTGCATAAAGGTATTTATAGAGCTTTAAAGACTTTAATTCCAGTTTGGGTCAAATTGCAATTATCTTATAATTACATATAATCCCTTTATTAACATTAATTGTAATAAAATCCCTAATTAACTCTTAATTAGGTTTTCACCCAAATTAACTCTTAATTGATTGTCTATCTTTTATCCTTTAGTTTCCAATCAATTCTATTGTGTGTAACCTTATAGGTTCAAGCATACCTAGTTGCAGGCATTCGATACTAACTACTAGTAGCACCCCAAATTAGAGGTCTTTTTAATTTAGCTTGAATTAGAACTCTTCTAATTCTCTCTTTATGAAGATCAATTAATATATTTTTATTAATTTCATTCTTCGGGCTTTTACTAATCATGAGTGACACCTAGCAACATATCATAATCAACCTCCAGATAGCACGAAGTAGGTAAAGAACTTATTCAGTCTATAATTGTCATGCAATTTAATCCTTCTATCATACAATGCCCCAATTGATTTACTAGAATATGGAATTACTGTCAAATCCCTAATTCAATCTTATGTGTTCGATCTTAGGATTATGACTCTTAATGATCAATTAGAAACTCTTTTTTAATTGTCATTCTGCCTTGGCCAATGACTCTCTGAGTCATATCCTAGAAGATCACATAGGACATTCTCCCTTGAATTATTAAGGATGATAGATTCTATGTTGTACACTTATAAATCTCCATGCATGTCTAACTATGTCCAACAAAACATATCCAAGTTACATGGTGAGTATATGAATATGTTGTATAGTTAAAGTATAGAAATTCATGCACAAGACAACCATGGTATCTCAAGTCTAAGGATCAGTTGCATAACTATAACTTTAGGATTTAACATTGATAGGTATGTAAAACTCCATATGAAAAATCTTACGTTAGTTAATGGTCACGTTCAGTGTACTTGTTCTCTAACAAGCACTCATACACCTGCTTCAGTGTCTTTACACTAGTGACTTAGACGAGTCACCTTATATCAAATATGAGTAAACATAGTGTATGCTAGTCTATGCGGATTACATAGTGCCCAAATAGTAATCCTATGATTAAGAACATTTAAGAGTTAAATACTAAGAAATATAGGTCTCCTCTTCTCAACACCTTGAGAAACTATCTTCTTAACGTATACCATATGAACTATATCATGTATATTAAAATGAAATAAAATAGAAACATGATAAATAAACATGACTTTTTATTTAATTAAGTAATGAATGTTGATAGTACAATTCTAAAACATCATCTATATGATTGTTCTTAGAGCATTAGACTATAAATAGGTGTGGTGGGGGTGGGTGCACTATAAGAAAAAAGTTTTTTAGCGGCAAAACAAGTTGTCGCTAAAAGTGAATAATTTGCCGCTACAAGCTTTCTGCGACAAAAAAATTTGGTCGCCAATTTGTCGCGGTAGGCTCGTCACTGAAAGTTTTTGACGACCAACTAAAGTATCGTCGCTAAAGTAAATTATCAGTGACAAAAAACTTAGTCGCTTAAAAATTCATCTACTTGTCACAAAAAAACCTTTGTCGCTGAAAAAAATTATATTATGGTCATATTTTTTCTTGTTGGTGATGACATAATATTTGTCGCTGAAAATCAAGATACATTTTTTGCGACTAATATATTTTCGACGTCAAATAACAAATGAACAAATTTTATAAACGGGTAACACAACACAACACGACTCATTTAATCCGTTTAATTTTAAAAAAATTATATCAACAAATTTTAATAATCCATTTTTCTTACTATCAGCTATACTTACCTAAAAAGAGAGAAATTTCTAATCAAATCTCACATAAAGATCAAACTTTAAGTCTAAAATAAAAAGGCAAGAGGCCACTGCCTTTTATAGGCAAATTAACCCTCTCCATCTCATTTCATTTGCCGATGTGGAACAAAAATAAAAGACATTGGTTTGTCTTACACATCATAGATTGCCTTTTTTTTGGCAACAATTTTTTTTATACATTGCAAAAAGTCGTTGCAGTAAAACATTTTTCTTGTTGTGATATTTTGCGACCAAAAATAAATTGTCGCCAAATAAAAAAAAATTCAACTTTTTGTTATGCGACAAACATGTATTGTTGCTAAGTATTATTATTTTAGAAGGAACGTTTTTGCAAAGACTATTGGCGACCACTACAAAAAATGGTCACAAAAAATATCATAACAAATTTTACTACGACAAACATTTGAAATTGTGGCCAAAAATCACTTTTTACAACAAATTTTGTTATTCGTCGCCAAAACTTGTTGCTAAAAAATAAATTTGTTGTAGTGGTGATAGTGGGAGGCGGCGGTGGTGATTGGTGCGCGATAACGGGTGGTGGTGGTAGGTGTGGCTATTCTACTCCTCCTTTTCCCCAGTGTTGGACCTCAAAAAAGAGACCATTGCACAAATATTTTGTGAAGTCTGCAACAAGAGCTGAAATCTTCTTGTCAAACAACAAAGGAGGGCCTTTTCTAATCTTGATTACTTGAACGAAGTGAATGGAGTTTTCTTCAATGCTTGACGTTTTGCATTAGGCCCTCAAAACGAAATTTCTTATGGCAAAGGGAAAATATAGTTGCAAAGCAATTGCGTATTCCTGGCTTGCAGCGGGGTGCCAACCTTCTCAACTTTATATTTGACACTATTCTTTCCTTACCATGCAAAAAGGGACCAAATGTCATTAGGAAGGTCTTTCTTTCTCTTACTTGATATTCTTCTTTCCAAAAGACATAAGGAAGGGTTGTTGAGGTTGGTGATTGACTGAATTAGGATGGGGCGGCAAGCAAGGTGGGATATGCTATGCTTGCAAGTACTGGTTTTGGATCCTAAAACACTGAAGGAATGTGTTATTTCTTTCTTCTTTTA